GGCGGGGGCGACCCAAGGGTGGTGGGCACTGCCTGCCCTGCGCCAGCCTGGCGGCACCTGCAAGTTTGCTTTCCGTGTCCTCCGCTTACCGTCTGCTTCTGCCACGTCAGAGTGCCGCCTCGTGAGCCGTGCTGCTCCGGCTGCCCGAGCATCCCGAGCATCCCTGGCACGGCTCATCTGCTTTCTGTTGCAGGTTCACTCACCCGCTGATGCTGGGCTCCGGTATGCACACCACCGGCATCCCGCACCCCGCCATCGTGCCCCACTCCGGCAAGCAAGAGATGGAGCACTATGACCGAAACATGTAAGTTGGAAGCGCTGGCAGGGCTCAGCAGCGTTAGTGAAATGCCCATTTCATTTATCCCTGTTAATGGTTGCACGGGGTGGGGGGAGGATGGATGAACACCGAGCTCTGCCTGCATCAGGCAACGGCACGCATCCAAGGTGCGGATCTCAAGCCCCCCACCTGCTCGTGCCGTCAGGTTGGTTTGGTGTGGAGCCCTCTGCTGAGCGTGGTGCCACCGGGTTGGTTTGGTATCGAGTCCTCTGCTGAGCGTGGTGCCACCAGGTTGGTTTGGTTTGGAGCCCTCTGCTGAGCTTGGTGCCACCAGGTTGGTTTGGTGTGGAGCCCTCTGCTGAGCGTGGTGCCACCGGGTTGGTTTGGTGTCGAGTCCTCTGCTGAGCTTGGTGCCACTGGGCAGCCAAACTGGAGGGGGGGCTCTGATGCTGACAGCTCCTCCTTTGGTCCCACCAAGGAAACCTCAACCAGAACCAAAGAGAGAGAAGGAAGCCAAGAAGCCCACTATCAAGAAACCCCTGAACGCTTTCATGTTGTATATGAAAGAAATGCGGGCGAAAGTCATTGCCGAATGCACCCTGAAGGAGAGCGCTGCCATCAACCAGATCCTGGGAAGGAGGGTAAGAGCACACGGGGCTCCGCGTCGTCGTCCCAGTGCAGCATCCGTGTCCCTTGCAGCTGCTCTCAAGCACGTAACGAGCATCTGCTTTCCAAACCAGGTGCTCTTATCCCTTAAACACATGGAGTCAGATTCGCCCCGGAGGAGGGTGGCCGCGGTGGGCTGGGCTGGGAGGGGATGGCAGGGCCACGTCTCACTGCCACCCTTGTCCTTGCAGTGGCACGCGCTGTCCCGGGAGGAGCAGGCCAAGTACTACGAACTGGCTCGCAAGGAACGGCAGCTCCACATGCAGCTCTACCCCGGCTGGTCTGCCAGAGACAACTATGTGAGTGGCTGCTGCAGTTCGGACCCCCTCCCCATGGCACAGCCAGAAACGACCCGGGGTGGGGGGCTGACAGCTGGTGTTTGCCAAACAATCCACCTGTCCCCACTAGTGCCATTCCTGACGGCGCTATAGTATAGAAATTCACATTTCAGGAGTATTTTGAACATTGTCTTGGCTCATTGCCTACCTATAGCATGAATGGTACAGCTCCCCAGGTACCCCAACCGTTTGTTCACTTATTGTCAATACAAGTAGAAAGGAAGAGGAACTTTTAAGTGATGTGGATGATCTTTGGAAATGTAATTTTATGGAAACCCACTGCTCTGTGCATCTCAGGCAGCAGGTGAGCCATCGAGAGCAGAGTATGGGGCAGAGATGCAGGAGGAGAAACTCATGGGGAGGCTGCACTGGGGTGGGCTGGGGGGCCTGAATGGGCTGCCACCGCCTCATCAGTTCCGTTGGCTTTGTGGTAGCACCTCGTTCATCAGTTTTAAGTCATGGGGCTGGGTACCGCGGGCTCCGTAGCCCTGGGCCCGTGGTGCTGAGCCCAGGCACACGCTGAGGATTTGGGGGGATTTGGTGAATTGCGGGCTGCTGCCTCTGATCAGAGGGATTAAAACTAGAGCAGGGTGTCTGCCCAAGCTGCACCCACAGGAGCCTCATCATAATAATGGGAAATAATTGTTAAAAAGGCAAAACAGGGAAGTGTAAGTTGCTTTGTACAAGCTGTAGTGCGAACCTCGGTGTCGCAGGCTGCTCAGTTCAGATTTCGGACTCTCCGTGGGATACATCCCAGGCAGGAGCCCCGTGTATCGCGGGACGTGTAAGCAGCACCCACAGGATGATGTCACCAAGCTTCTGCCTGTCCTGCAGGGACCCCGGCCAAATCGAGCACAACACGTTCAAAGTATTCCAACGCAATCCGAGCGCACGCAGACAACAGCACTGCTTGCTTGGTGAGCTCGCGAGCTAAATCCAGCTCTTTGGTGAGCCTGTTTGCCAACCAAGGTTGCTGTTAGAGGGAAAAAGCCCTTTCTGGATTGAAAAAAAAAGAAAAAACAAGCCCCCAAAGCAGGCAGTGGCTGCTGAGCCACGCAGCAAATAGCAGTGGTTCTCAGCAATAAAAATCAGCTAGTGCAGAGGGCTCTGAAGCATGCTGGGTGTTGGGATCATGCGTTCCCGTAGCCAGAAGAGCTTTAGAATCATAGAATCATAGAATGGTTAGGGTTGGAAGGGACCTTAAAGATCATCTAGTTCCAACTTTCCCTGTGTACAAGGCAAAGAAGGGAAGCTCCAGCCTTGATCTGCCCTGGTTTTGGCTGTAGCAAGGTAATGCTGCCGCAGCAATCGATGCCAAACCGATCCCCGAGGCGTGAGCGGAGAAAAACTTGCGCTTTGGTTTTTCTAGAGAGCTGACTCGGCTCTACATCTGAAATAGAGGCTCTTTTTGGAGGGGGCTGCAGTGAACCAGCCGGACTCTGCAAGGCTCCCCACTCCCGGGAAGAAGTAGCAGCAGCTCCTGGTCTGGTTGGAAGGACAAAGCTGCTTTGCAGCTCGTGGTGGCAGGGCCAGCAGTTGGGAAGTCTCTGGGCTACTCCATGGCACACTGCAAGGTTACTCTTGACTTTCATTTCCTCTTAGTTGTATTAATCACTTCAGAAGGACTGTGTGAAACGAGGTTGCAGAGGTGTAGCAGTGCCCCAGAAGCACAGATATACACTCCGGGTCTTTTCTAGTGGTTTTCTCGACCGTTTTGATCTTACATGCCTAACGAGCTCATTAGAGACCTGAAGCAAAGCACACATAAGTCTTCAGATGTCCGTCCGTCCATCCACTTGAGGGTTCTGCCCTTTGATCTAAAACTCCGTCGTTTCCCTCGCAGCCGCTTTCTTTCCCCAGCAAGCACCCGTCCAGCCCACCCAGACCCAAACCCTCCTTCCAGAAAGCCCAAACTCCACCCAGGGCAAGAAAACACTCTTAAACAGACCCCAAAAAAGAAAAGAAAAAAAAAAAACCAAAAACAAAAACAGAAGGCAGAGATGATGCAGGAAAAGCAGAAGTTTCAGGAAGCCCCCCCTGCCCGTATCCCTGCCTCCTTGCAAGCACAGACCAGGAGCTCAGCATCCACATGCAGCTTTGCAGGATCAGTCCTGGATGCTGCCGACCTCCGGAGCCACCCGTAGAGAAACTGGGGCAGCACCTTTGGTGCTGCTCCGGAGGTTGGCAGCATCGTTGGGCACACATCTGGAGGGCATCAACATCTGGAGGGCAGCAGCAGCATCGCTGAGAGCAAGGCACCATCGTCCTCCAAGACCAAGCACATCCTCCGTGGAAATCTCAATCCCGTAGCATCCTTTGTCTTGGCAAGGGTTGGTTCTTTGCTCCAGAAGAGTTTTCTTTTCAACTGAGCTCCGAAGGTGGACGTCGGTTCTCCTGGCACCGGCAAGAAGCTGTTTTGGGGCTTGTGGTCCTTGCAAGAGATGCTTTTCTCCCCAGAGCCTGAGCGAGGAGGAGGAGGAGGAGGAGGAATGTAGGTCATTTCTGCAGCACGTGATGCGGATATCGGGCAGGAAATACCGTTGCTCCCACACTGAAGCAAAAGCTTACCGCAGCTTGGAGCTTTCCACCTTCACTCAAACCACAAGAAGTCATATAAAAAGTCACGGGTCAAAGGCAGCCCGGCGAGGTGCCGGCTCCACGCAGGCCAGCTGTGCTCCCGCGCCGCTGTGCCCTCATTAATAAGCTCATTAGGCAGTTTGGGGATAAAATTGGGTTTTCTTGTTAGGGAAGGAAGAAAACAGAAGAATGGGAGGTGGGTCCAGCGCTGCAAAAGCACTGGAATAGACAAGTATTATTTAAAAATAAATTTCTGGGGATTTCCTAAAACTTTCTTTCCCATTTGAAATCGAGGATGCTCCTCCTGGTAATGCGATATGGAGCAATTTCTGTTCAGGTATAAGGCACCACATTAAAGCAAGTATTAGAAATAGGGAAGGTGCTAAAATGGGCCAAGTGCTTTTTAGAAACATAAAGAGGGAGGAGGAACAAGAACACATGAGAAGGATCAGCTGTTGATCAGACTGCCTCCCTTGCATGTGGTAAATCTTGTTTAATTCTTTTAATCTAGTTAAATCTAGCAATGAAATTACCAATTAATTAATTAAAGTGACAGTGGGTGGGATTCCCAGGTGAGACGCATCAGGGTGGGCTGAGGAGGACTGGCAGGAGTTGGTGGAGGTGCTGAGCAGCGCGGACACAGGTGTGGGGTTTATCACAGCTGTTTTGCATCCAGTAACGTTTCCTCTTGTGCCTTTGTACGTGGAGTGCAGCAGAAGTGAGAGTCTCAGTGGTGTTTGTAGGGTGGTTGTGGACTTAGAAAACAGAGCAGGGAGCAGCGTGGTGGGAAGATGCAGCAGACATGGGAGGTGGCAGCTGGGATGTGGCCACCATCTCCTCTGAGTTTCTGTTGCTGTTTCTACGTAGGCATGGATCTCGTGCAGAGTGGTTTTGGGATGAGTCAAAAGGCCAGTGGTGCTGGATCCGGGGATTCTGGAAATGAGGGGTTATTCCTGAGAAAAGGGATGTGCCCAGAGCAAACCTGGGCTGCGTAGAAGGAGCCACCAGCATGTGTGCGAACGCAACTTGGGTGGCTGCTCCGAGAGTTCCTCCTGGGTTTGCTTTCTGGAGCAGTGGACTGGGGGGTCAGGGAAAAGGAAGGGATGTCCACGCAGATAGACCCAAGCAGGTCCCCTCGCAGCGATTCCCGGCTCGTCTCTCCCTGGCACGGGCAGAGCGGGCGGCACTGTGGCTGTTACAATGAGGACGTGACCACTCACCTGGGCAGCAGCCACAGCCTTCCCTGGGGGCCCCATCCAGCCCCCAGAGCCCTGCACAGCACCCTCGGTCCCCTGGGAGCACGGACTAACGGCCTTTCCTTCCATTTCCTAGGGGAAAAAGAAGAGACGAACACGGGAGAAGCAGCAAGATTCCAACTCAGGTAAATGCTTGCGGCTCGGTGGCTGTCCCTTCGTTTTTGCTTAGAGGGGATAATCCGAATCAGTTGTCATCTTTTACCATGGATTTTTTTATTCTCCTGAGCTTAACTAAAGAAATACACTTTTTTTTTTTTAAGACACGATAAATTAACATTTCTGCGACTTTTTCATAGACGTGTTTGAATTTTAGAACACAGGTAGTGTGTGAAAACTGAAAATATTAGATTTTGGCAAGTGCATAACTTCATATTAACTCTCAGTAAGTTTAATCTGTTCAAAACATGCAGGGTGAGTGTCCCCATCAGCCCTACAGATGCCATTAATTAAAGAAAACTCCTCTGAAATGCATCGATATTGCACGTGGGACTGAAGGCAGTGGCAGGATTGAAGGTCACCCATGGCACTACCCCAGATTTGGTTTTCATTTCCAAGTAACCTAGAGTTTAAGGAAAGTCACACTAAAAACCCGTACCAGCTGCCTCCCCGCACCGCGCTGTTTATTAGAAAAGGCCCTTTTGGCAGATTTCAGCTGGTGACACACACGTTCCCATCATCCAAGGTTATTCCTGTCCTGGTTTCGGAAGCATTGCTGCTGTATCAGGAATAAATAACACCTGTACCACTAAATATCCCTAACGAAACATCAAGAGACTGTCCTTGCCCCCCATGGCATCACATATACATGAAGGTAGACAGCCCAGTTTTGCCCGTATGTCCGTTCTGTGATTGCCTGTAGACTTACAAAGAGCCTTTCCCGCTCTCCAGCCTACCAGTCTCCACTACAGCTCCGTGCTTTTACTTTTGGATAAATTAAGCCAGCCAGATGACAGGCTGTTGGCTTTCTAAGCAATACACTAGTTCTCTCTCCTGCCAGAAATGCTCCCTGGGGAGGGTGCCACGTCAGCCTGTTGCTCTCCTGGCCTTGCACACCCACCCAAAGACCTGCCACAGCTGAGCTGGGGATCCCAAGGTGCACAGCTGGCTGCATCTGGGCGGTTCAGTTGTTGACTACAACGTGGGAGTCCAGCTCTGGTGTTATTGCTGTGGACTATACGTCCTTGCGACCAGAATCCTGCAGCCCACGTTAATCCATAAAGTTCAGATTATCTCATTAATTTAACGAATCGCTGTTGGATAACCTCTTTGAATTATCCATAAACTGGAATTGTTTAATTCCAGGATAGTGTCCCAGCAGTATCTTCAGTTTAGTTGACACCATTGATCTCATTCAGTGTTTGCCCTGATAAGGGGAATCCAAGCTTTTAGGTTTATATGTAGTGTGTATATGTATCTCTATTTGTATATATCCATACATGTTGGCATACCTCAAGACATCCCATTCTATGATATGTCTTGTCTGTGTGCTACAGAAATGGTAATTTCACCTGTTATGGATTGAAAACCAACTGCTGGTTGTACACTACAGGAGACAGTGGTGGTGGCTGAAGGAGGGAGCGTGAATCCAGCACAGAAACGTGCTGTTCAAATCCTGTTTCCAGCTCTAGAGGAAAAACATGATGTGCCTGAAAGCAAACAGGGCTTCACCCTAATGAGTCCCCTAATTTATACAGTAAAGCTGCAACATTTTAGGAAAGGGCACAGAGAATAGCTTTTCCATTAAAACTGGAAGGGGAATGGTGGAGGGCAGAGTAGCATAACCTGGGCCTGCTTCTCCTTGGTGCTAACTCTGCTTTCAGCCTGCTTCTGCAACGTTTCCTCCTCTTCTTTTCCATGCGCAGTCCGAGCAGCCCCGTTTAGTCGCTGCTGGAAAGGCAGGGAGCAGGTAAGGATGCAGACACAGGAGGCTGGCAGCACCTCTGGGATTTGGCAGCTTATCCAAACTTACTCAAAGAGCTGTGAATTACCCCGTAACTGCCCATATTTCCCAGAGCTGAGGCCGTTTCCCAAACCTCCTTCTTCTCCAGCTGCCGGCGGTGATCACTGATGTTTGCCTAACGATCACTTTTTTCCAGGAGAGGTGGTGCCAGCACCGTTCCGTTGCAGAAAAAAAAAAAAAAAGCAAAGTTGGATTGTAGTCTGTTAGTCGTGTGTTAAAGTGGCTAAAATGATGTTGCCTCTTTTCTTCCTCCTGCTCCTCCTCCTCTTTGTGCCTCTGCCTTGCCCATTCTCCGCCACGCATGCTTCTGTGTTCAGATCCTGCCTCTCCTAAGAAATGCAGAGCTCGCTTTGGCCTCAACCAACAAACGGACTGGTGCGGCCCGTGCAGGTGTGTATCAGCATCTCCTCGCTGCTGGGGTGCTCCTGGGCGAGCGGGTTCGGCTCTGGGCATCCTTCTGCAGCCGTCCCAGTGCCAGTGGGGGCTGCTCCGGCCAGGCAGGGATGGGGTTTTCTCTGGGCATCGTCAGCAGTTGTTGGCTGAGCTGCAAGGGTCAGGCTGCACCCTGGGTTTCTTACCCCCCCGGGCAATGTTGGTGTAATGCTGTACGTGTTTCTCGGCTGATGGACTTCCCTGGTCTTAAAAGCTTATTTCCAGGGTGGAGACCTCTGTGACCCTGATGTGGGGCTTTTTTCCCCTATTAAAAGATTTTATATCACATAAATAGCACCCTGGGGCCAGTAGTGAGTACTTAATGGATTTTTTTTCTATTTATGCTGAGGTTAACCATGTATTTCAAGATCCAGCTCTTCTTGACCCTGAAATTTTGCAGTACCCACCGTGGGAGGGGTGGGACAGCCTCAAGCAGCGAGTCAGTTTGGAAGTGCCCTGTGCCTTGGGCTTCCAGGGAACAGACATGGCTGGGCAATAGTAAAGCTTAGTGCATGAAGCAAGTGCTGCTTGGCTCTGGGGGGTCTGCAAATGCAGCCAGGCAGGAAAAGTTCCTGGGGGGCTTCTAGACCTGGGCACTGACGAATGGAGAGGCTCCAGCCTGGACAGGGGTCTGCGATTCATAGCACGTTTTTGTACCAGTGCGTTGAGGACTTTTAGCAAACGCTTAACGTGCTCACCGCAGCTTAAAGTGACTAAAATCAGTTAGTCTACCCCAATCTGAACCCCGAAGCACAGCCCTGCAGAGTCCCGACGGTGCTTGGCCATCGGCACCCCGGGGTGAGCTCCCGTCCCTGCGGCCGCCTCCAGCACCTCGGCGTGCCACGCAACAGCCAGCCTCCCCGCTCACCTTTAATAATGTCATCAAGCACCATTTTTTAACTAGGAATCTGGCCAGAGCTGCCTTCATATCTCATTAATACTTTACCCCAATGTCCAGAGAGGGATTTTTGTGACCCCATCGCTCACGCAGCGATGCCACCGAGCTGAGAGCCCCGTACCGCGGCGCAGGGCACGACTCAGGGTTTTTGGGCAGTTCCTCCAACTTCCCTCTGCCTTCGTTTGAACTCTCTTAATTCAGCTTCTCCTCTGCACTGCTTCCCGATTAACACCGGCTGCTGCAGCGCTCGGAGCCCTTGGCATGCTTCAATTTTTTAACCTTTGCCTCTGGAACCCTGGTTCATCCCAGCTGTTGTGCAATTCCCGTACTAACGTGCTGCTGCCGGCTCAAGGGCTCCTGTCCTACGTGCTCTGGTCACCTGCGGAAAGCAACTTCCACCGGAGGATTTCCACCCTGCAGGAGATGTCAACAGGTTAAAACTGGGTGTTCCTGCTCTAGAGCTTTCACCCTCCTCCTCCTCACCCCTGGCAAACCGCTCCAGGGTGCTTAGTTCCTAAAGGGAGAGGGATCAATCCCTTTAGCTGTGTAATAGCCACATCAACCGTAGCCCACTAACCTGGTTCGTTATCGACAGTCTGTAGTATCAGATCTGCTTTTTTTTCCCCCCTCCGTTATTTTAAATCAAATCAGTGAATCGGTGGGTATATTTGTGTCGTCTTAAACAGGGCATTGAAACTCTCCATCCTCCAGCTGCTCCTGAGATGTCTGTGGGAAATACAGCTTTTCCCCGGGCTTGTCTGCGCTGGGAAATTACAGCCCATGTAGAGTAACCTCCGAGTTAAATATTCAGTTCATCAGGGCTGTCGTGTTTCATATCGCATTAATTGGGTCACCACGGCTAACGCTGACACTGACAGCAGTAATAGCACTTGTCTTGTTCACATCCAGTGCAAAGTCGTGTTTAATACTGGACTAGTTAATACATATTCTAACACTGTCTAGTTTTTCATTAGTAAGATCAAAGAAAGGTGTGTGCCCGCATTAGCAAGCTCTCCATTTGATCTGTTTTCCTCAAATGAGACAGCTGAGGCAGGGAGCTGAGCGGGAGGAAGATGTTCTTTTTTAGCTGTTTTAGCTGTAAAGTCATTAATACCAGCTCCAGCAGAGGAATTGTTCCCTCACTACTATTAAGGTGACATCTTGAGATGTCTTTTGTTTAAAACTATACTGAGATGCTGGAGAACCTGTAGCAGGTGACGGGAGGGATCTGTCACACGAAGGAAAACCAGCTCAACATGGAGTATGTACAGACAACACGTGACAGAGCCAGGGACTGACTCTGGAGAGCTGGGGAGTGGTTAAAGTAATCTGGGCATATGAGGTGATAACTGGAACTCAGGCTAAATATTCCTGGCTTTGATACCAAACAGCAGAATTGTCCAGGGATGCGGAGAAATCACACCCAAATCCACTTACAGCAAGGATGATGCACAACTAGTAATTTTGAGACCTCCCTAAATCAAACAAGTGGGGAACCTGAATATCTTCTCCAGAGGGGTGAAGGGAGGCTGGTTCCTGCTCCCCAGATGCTGCTGTCTTTGGGACCTTCCCAGTCCCAGTGGGCAAGTGGAGGCTAGGGGAGGGGAGTTGCCACCGTCAGGGTACTTTTCTGTAAAAAACCCTTTTTGTGAGTAAATCCCCAGCTGATGAGCTTTATTTGTCACGTTCCACAGAAAGGGAGCGTGGAACTGAGTGTTTCACAGTTGCAGGTCCAGTTCAGGTCCTTCTGCCTAATCTTTCCCTCCAGTGTCTGTCTACATTGCATTTTGTACTCTGTTTCCTAAAGGAGAGATCACAGCAAATGTTTCCTGCCC